CCAGTGTGCCACACCAGCCAGCGTGTCATCATTTTCTTATTAAGGTGTTCGTTAGCCGGAAGCAATTATGAAGAGTTCCTTCTCTCCATGTGTCTTATTTTCTTCTAGGCTGGCTCTTTGTCTCCCTCCTGTGAGCCTTTCGTTGTTGTTGTTTTACTGTTTGCTTCTATTGTTGCCTTTTATTTTGTTTGCTGTCCCAGGTTATAATCTCCGGGAGGCGGAGTCTGAGATTTGGGGAAAGTATTCGAGGGGAACTCTTAGGGTTCACTCCAGTGCAGGGGACGAGGGAAGCAGGGTGAGGCAGAGGGAGAGGTTGGGCTGTGCTGTGCTCACAACAAAGCTGGTCCCACTTTGACCGAGCCATAGCCTTTCTATGTCTGCGTAGACCAGTGGTTGGGATGCAGGCTGCACTCAGAGAGGGCGTGTGCCATGGGCAAGGCGGCTTTTTTCAGGAGGAGGATGTGCTTGGGCTCCTAGGGAGTGAAGAGGGTAGGTATCTGGGTGGCACAACCCAGTGTCCATCTATGAGAGTCAATTTTATTCTTACCAGTACATGGTACTGTCCAGATATTTATCCTGATTTTTCATTCTCTTCTTACCTGTCTGAAATAGGCGTGTTTCCTTCTGATAGGCATGTCGAAGGCTAGGTGGTTTGTTTTTTAATTTCCCTCTATTTTCGTAGCTTGAGAGAACCACTGGGAGCCAGTGAAGGGTTGGATAGTGAGTGAGCACGATGAGGGGGTGGGCTGCCTTCAGTATGGTATGAGGTGGGGGTCAGGATTCTGCATCTACATGACCCAGTGCCATTTGTGGAAAGACATCTTCTCCCCATTGCTCTGCACTGTCACCATGTCAAGAATCAGTATGCGGCTGAAACCGGTTTGGCTCAGTGGATAGAGCATCGGTCTGCAGACTGAAGGGTCCCGGGTTCGATTCCGGTCAAGGGCATGTACCTTGGTTGCAGACACATCCCCAGTAGGGGGTGTGCAGGAGCAGCTGATCGATGACTCTCTCTCATCGATGTTTCTAACTTTCTATCCCTCTCCCTTCCTCTCTGTAAAAAATCAATAAAATATATTTTTAAAAAAGAAAAAAAGAATCAGTATGTGTCTGTGTCTGCCTATCTCTGTTCTCTTCCATTGGCCTTTGGACTGCCATTGTCCAAATAGCACCCATCTCATTTCTTGTAAGTTGACAATGGATGCTGACATCCAGCAGAACCATGTCTTCTCAAAGATCATCTTGGGCAATCTTTGTGCTCCTTGCCTTTCTGTTCAGCTCTAGAGTCAGCTTGTCAGTTTCCTCAAAGCACCTGCTGATGGTTTTAGAGATTGCATTGATTGTGTGGGTCAGTTTGAGTATGACGATCCTTGCTACAGTAGTGGGTTTCCTATTGGAGCCTTCATTTAGGGCTTCTTTACTTTTTAAATATTGGCTTATAGTTTTATATGTAGAGGTGTTTCTTAGAAATCTTTTATTAGATTTATGAAGATTCGTGCAAGAATAGGCCTTCCTTCCCCTGGCTGCCAGCACTGGCTTCCCTCCAGCACCTGGGACCCAGGCCTTCAATCTGGCTGCCTTCTTCCGCCTTTGCTCTGGCCCTGCCGCCCCCCTGTAGCTCCCTCTACCTCCCGCCCCCCCCAACATAGCAGGCGTCCCACCTTGCCCCAGCCATTCCACGCCTGGAGCAGCTGGGCCGCTGCCATCTTTGGCCTTCTAATTTGCATACACACTCTGATAGGCTGTGAGTGTAGCGGGCAGTACGGTCAATTTACTTGTTTGACTATTGTTAGGTAAGATACCTGGGTATATTATTAAAAAGGAAAACCACCCAAAACAATGTAATGAGTCACTATGTAGCCATCGCTCATTTTCAGCAGCTTTGTTGCATTTATATCCCCGCTTCGCTCAATCCCACCATTTCCTCCAAGCTTATTTGGAAACAACTTTAAAATACACTGAGTGGCCAGATTATTATGACCTCTGAATTCATAATAATGTGGCCACTCAGTGTGTGTGTGTGTGTGTGTGTGTGTGTGTGTGTGTGTATTAAAGGCCCGGTGCATGAATTCGTGCATGGGTTGGGTCTGGCCAGCTTGGCCAGGGGAGGGGAATGTGTGGTTGGCTGGCCTGCCTGCTGCTCGAACTCCTGGTCGAGGGGACAATTTGCATATTAGCCTTTTATTATATGGGATATACACTGAGTGGCCAGATTATTATGCATTCAGAGATCATAATTATCTGGCCATTCAGTGTATATCATTATAGGTGTTCCAATATGTATTTCTAAGACATAAGAAGGACCTTGTTTAAAAAAAACAAATGTCACCCAGGGTGAAGAGGCAACGTTGCTTCTCCTGGTCTTGAAGCTGCCAGAACTGCCTGCCCCACGTTGGGTGGAGAGCCCACAGGGAAGGCTGCAGAGGAGGGCGTGTGAGCCACGGCCACGCAGGCCACACCCACGCAGGCCGTCTCAGCTCTGACACGAGGAGGCGTGGAGACTTCTGAGGAGTGGGCCACTGGTCATTCTCTCAGCCGAGCAGTTGGGAGAGCCAGGGGTGGGAAGGACCCAGCAGGCGCGCGGGGCCTGGGGCTGACGCAGAAGGGCCTGGTGGCAGAAATCACCGAAAAGCCACAGTCATTCATTGTGGACTACGAGAGTGGACAGGCCAGTCTGAATCAGGCCCTGGGCACGACTGAGAGAGCCCTCGGCCTCAAGCTCTGCGGGAAGGACAGGGGATGCCGATGGAAAAGGGGCCGAGGGCAAAGTGAACACAAAACCTCAAAGTCAGTGCGTCCCGGCCACTTTCCTCCAGGGTCTCTGCCTGTGAGGGCCTCTCCACAGGGCCCTTGGAACACGGGTCAGCCCTGCCCGGAACCCCTTCTCCCAAAATGCTGACAAACAAAACCTTGCAGAGTGTTTGCTTCTGCTGATTGTTTTTCCTTCTTAACCTCAAATTGGGGTGCAAAACACCGCCATCCTGGCCTGTAGTGTGGGCCTGGTTGTGGGTGTGGCTTGAGGCTGAGTGGGTGGCCCTCACAGGGTGGATCTAGTGCAGACAAGGCAGGTGCCACCTCCTGTCCGGCTGTTAGAAAAGTGCACGGACGTCTGCTGCTGATAAAACAACAAACTTCCCAATATCATTTTGTACCTGAAAATCTACGCTAATAAAAGAGAAACATGCAAATTGACCATAACTCCATTACGCCCACCAGCCAATTAGGAGCAAATATGCAAATTAACCCAACCAAGATGGCAGCAACCACCGAGTTGGAGCAAGCAGGAAGCTTGGGTTGTCCCCCCACGATGGAGGAAGGCAAGCTTCCTGCCCACCTTGGCTGGCCCTGGCCTCTGCTCAAGGTGACAAAGTTTCAATTACAGAAGATAAATAAATCTCAGATACCTACTTGCAGCCAGCCCTGGCCTCTGCTCAAGGAGGCACTGAAAAAGAAATAAAAGTAAAAAAGGAGGGGCTGGGAACCTGGATTGCCAAGGGGCGTGGCCAGCCTGAAAACAGCCATCAGCTCCTCACCCAGTCTGGCCACACTCCCCTGAGGTGAGGGGCCTGCTACGAGGCTTGGCCAGTTTGCAAACAGCCATCAGCCCTCACTTAGGCTGGCCAGGCATTCCAGTGGGGACCCACACTCTGAATAGGGTGTGGCCAGCCTGAAAACAGCCCTCAGCCCCTCACCCAGGCTGGTCATGTCCATCCAGCAGGGACCCTCGCCCCCTGGGGACATGGCTGGCTTGCAAACTACCACAGGCCCCTCGCTCAGGCTGTCCCACACCCCAAGGGAACCCCTACCCTGACCCGGGACACCCTTCAGGGCAAACCAGCCGGCCCCCACCCATGCACCAGGTCTCTATCTATACTAATAAAAGGGTCATATGCTAATTAGACTGGAAGACCTTCCAGGAGACCTTCCAGACGTTCTTCTGGACAAAGCCATGATGGCGGGGCCAAGGTCGAGGCTGTTAGAGGCCAAGAGGGGAGGGCAGTTGTGGGCGATCAGGCTAGGATGGGACAGAAGTTGTGGGTGATCAGGCTGGTGGGGTGTGGGGTTGTTGGGGTTGTCTGGTGGGTAAGCAGACCAGCAGGGTGGCATTGGGAGTGAGCAGGCCAGTGGGGAGGGAAGGTGGGGGCAAGCAGGCCAGCAGGGGGGGCAGTTAGGGGTGAGCAGGTCAGTAGGGGAGGCAGTTGGGGGCGAGTACAGTGGCACAGAGGGGCAGTTGGGTGTGATCAGGCTGGCAGGGGGGCATTTGGGGGTGAGAGGCTGGTGGCAGGGGCAGTTGGGGCGAGCAGGTCAGCAGGTAGAGTGGTTAGGGGCAATCAGCAGGCAGGCAGGCAGGCAAGTGAGTGGTTAGGAGCCAGTGGTTCTGGATTGGGAAAGGGAAGTCCAACTGCCAGTTTTGGCTGGATCCCTGTAAACTGGCAGTAGGCTATCCTTCGAAGGGTCCCAGATTGGAGAGGGTACAGGCCAGGCTGAGGGCCACCCCCACTCCTGGTGCACGAATTTCTTTCACTGGGCTTCGAATGTAGAAATAATTCCTTGCACCATAAAACACCCAGTTAGTGTTAGTTGGTGCTAGTGTTATTGACATCTTTAAAATTTTCATTTTCTTTGTATCTTTCTGGTATAGAGATTTTTTTTATTTTTATATGTTGGTCTTGTATCCAATAATCTTGCTCAAGTATTCATTACTTCTGATAAATTTTTCTTTTGACTTCCTATATACATAATCATGTTGTTTGTTAATATAATGACAGTCCAGCTCAAGGGGCAACAAGATTTGCCAAGTTTCACAATCATCAGTTTAAAAAGTAAAAGAGAAACCAACCGATAAAAAGTGAACGATTTGATGTTAAGATTTCATCTAAGGTGGAAATAAAGTTGAAGACTTTAATAATGCCTATAACTGTGTATTATAGACTGTTTCGAAATTTTTATGAGTTGATAAAATCATTTCTTCTTCTTTTTTTTCTTTTTTTGTATAATAGTTTCCCATCACCGATTGTACTTGGAATTGGACAGGTAAGTGGAATTAACCTCTTAATTAGTCAGTTACATGTGGTGCAGTTTTAAGTGCTTTTATTTAAGACTGTGGTTTATAAATGTATTCACCTGACCATGGTACTTTTGTTGAAGCAATATGAAATAACACATATTTTATGTTATTCTATAATTTAGGAACAGTGTATTTGTAGAAAAAACAAGAACTGATTTTAATTTCCTTAATGGAATGTAATTACTTTATTTTTTATTTATTTATTTATTTTTAAATATATTTTATTGATTTTTCACAGAGAGGAAGAGAGATAGAGAGTTAGAAACATCGATGAGAGAGAATCATCGATCAGCTGCCTCTTGCACACCCCCCACCGGGGATGTGCCCGTAACCAAGGTACATGCCCTTGCCCGGAATCGAACCCGGGACCTTTCAGTCCGCAGATCGACACTCTACCACTGAGCCAAACCGGTCCCGGCTGGAATGTAATTACTTTAAAACAAGGGGCCAGAGTACTGCGGTCTCCCAGGTCTGTCTGGTGTGTAAGAAGGTCTGGGCTGGGGCGGGGCCGGTGCCGGGAACGGACCGGTAGTTACCATGAGGTGTGCACCTGCTGCTCGGATTCCGCCTCTGAGCTAGCGAGGAAGAGGGTTGGGGAGGTGAGTGGGGCCCACGAGGCCCTAATTATCAGAACTCCAGAGTTTTTTTTTTTTTAAGAGAAGCAGGTATTTGAGTTTTTACATCAGATCTCCCATTTGTAAATGCCAGCAATGGATTCCAATTTCACAAAACTCTCCGTGGGCAAAGCAAAACATATTTACTTCCTATGGTTTGTGATCTTTGTTCTCAGCTATAAAGTTGAGAAAATCTTTCAGACTAACGTGCTTGGCTGTTTCTGAAATTTTCCATTAATATTAATCTGTGGATTGTTTATTCTTGTGGTCATAGGCTGGTGATTTTCAGTAGACAAGTGTAACAGGCATCAGAGATTTTATTTGTCTTGCTTTGCTTTAAGTTATAGTTAGAAAAATTTAAAATTATGGAAATTATATCTTGCTAACTGTAATTGTGAATCTGGAAAAGCTGTCATTTATATGATTAAACATTGTTCTGATTACGTGTTTTTTACTAATAAGGTACTCTTTGAAGCATCATGTTAGGGAGACAAAAATAACAAACAATATATTTCCTTAAGGTAAAAAGAAAAAGTTATCTTTATGTTTCATTGTGAAAATACGTAGAGAAAGGCGTTTAAAAGTTTAGTGATGAACTGTCCTTGGAAATCCCTGAGGCAAATAAAATCACTGCTGTACCCAAGGTAAAGTCCTTTTGATTTTTTATCTGTTGGGGGAAGAGGCCAGCAGACCTATTTTTAAAAGTCTGAATTACAGAATATTTTAAATAAGTGTTAGTATGTTTCTGCAAGAATTACAAAGTAAGTCATAAATATAAACCACAGTTATAATTTAGCATGGGTCCCATTAAGTTTGTAAACTTATTGGGATCAGGTTTAGGATTATGATCATGTTGAAGGCGTCTTTACATCTTTGCATCCTAGTCCTAGCTGGTTTGGCTCAGTGGATAGAACAAGGGCCTGTAGCACTTCGAGGTTCAATTCTGGTCAAAGGCACAGATGAACTGGGTTTTGGGCCTGATCCCCAGTAGGGGGCATGCAGGAGGCAGCTGATCAATGGTTCTCTCCTGTCCATTTAAAAAACTATATTTTTATTGATTTCAGAGATGAAGGGAGAGGGAGAGAGATACAGAAACATCAATGATGAGAGAGAATCACTGATTGGCTGCCTCCTGCCCCTTACTGGGAATCAAGCCCGCAACCTAGGCACGTGCCCCTGACCGGAATGGAAACTGGGACGCTTCCGTCTGCAGGTTGGTGCTCTATCCACTGAGCAAACCAGCTATGGCAGATATATTGCTTTTTGATGAATCGGTTTTCTTCTGATGTCTTTGTACCTGAAATAGTCCACATATTTTTGCTGAAGTTTCTTTTTTCCCTTTTTTAGATGGCGGCTACCATAATGATACTGTATGTGTCCAAGCTAAATAAAATAATTCACTTTCCTGATTTTGACAAGAAAATTCCTATAAAGGTATGTGAGTAAAAGGATATATAGCTATGATGGAAGATGTGAAAATATTACATAATTGCCATGACCTTTGCAGCGGGGTTCAGGATCTGAAGGTGGAGACGATGCACAAATGAAAACACTATACACGAAATATGAATTTAGAAGGCCTTGGGGACCAGGTGGAGCTTCTCTCTTGAAGAGACACACCAAGACTCATGCCCGTCTGCTTTTTATTCAGTTTTAGATACACATCTTGCTCTCTAGTAATGCATACAGGAATGCCAAAGGTGAAGTTTGGTAAAGAGTAAAAGAATTATCAGGTTAGAGAATTGCCTTGAGCCACCACTATCTCAACATGAACAATCAGAGCTTAGCATTAGCCCTGCTAATGCCCAAGGTCCATCCGCCTTCCGCATTCCTTGATATTCTTGTGACCAGTATTGGCAAGCAGTGGCTTCTCACACATAAATACAAATTGATCTTAGAGTACATGTCCATTTCTGTATACATGATGCTTCCTGCTTATATTAGGTAGAAGCTTCTTAATTAAGAATATTATTGTAATATAATAATGGTAGAAGTGAGTGCTTAGCACTTGACATTTAATAAATGCTGTGTCTTCTGAAATGGCAAAGTCCGGTATCAGATAATACATAAAGGACCAGATCATAAATATTTGGGCTTTGTGGCCCAGACCATCTCTGTTGCAACTGCTCAGCTGTACCACTATGCCATGGAAGCAGCCATAGAAGGTATATAAATGAATCAGTATAGCATAGTTCTAATAAAACTTTATTTACATAAACAAGAGAGATGGGTGGGATTTGGCTCTTGGGTTCTAGTTTGTTGATCCCTGTTTTAAGTTTTCATTTTTAGCATGGATTGACAAAAGCTGTGAGTGGAATGAAGAATACAATTTGATATATACAGAAATAACACAGTTTTGTCCATGGTGGAACTAGAAATACGAGATTTGCCTTTTCTTCCTGGGATGTGGAATGGAACTTGGTGGACAGATGCAGGGTGCCAGGCATTCGGTCAGACATTGAATCCTCAGAGCAGTCCTCAGCACAGGGGCATGTAATGGGTTATGATGACATTTTGAATTTGGGGAGGCTAAAGGCTAAGTTAGATGGTCATTTCCTTACGGTTAGAAACTCCCATGGCTTGTTCATGCTGTGTCTCCGAGGCCTGGGCAAATGCTGGCGGCTAGCACTGGGTTATTCGTCAGGCTGAGGTACAGCACCAGTCATCGGGGACATCACCAAAAGAGAAAAACAACATACTGAAGTATTCAGAGGATACTAAGCCAGTCATCATAGGAAAAACCAGAATATTATTTGGCTTGCTTACACTTGGTTTATGATATACTATAATTGTCAAGCACTTTAAACATTTAAAAATTCTGAAATAAGGGTCCGTACATAGGGAAAAGGCATTGTATGCGAATAAGTTGAATAAGTAATTACCCTTGTAATCATGACTGAGGTCGTGAGCTGGGATCCCAGAATCCTCCTTACCAAAAACTCTTCTGACTTTTGTAATAATAATTATCTTGCTTTTTTGGGGGTAATTTTTCTAAATTTGTATGCATCCTTCAGTTATGTAGTTTCGTCTTGCCTATTTTTGAGCATTATATAAAGGGAATTAAGCTCCATGTGCTCTTTTGTATCTTGGGTCTGATGATGATGATTTATCCATCCTGTCTCTGGCTGTGTCCTTTTATTTACTTGTCTGTTTTCCTGTTTAAGGGAATTTGGGTTGTTTCTGGTTTGGGAGCTAGAAAAATAAAAAGTATTGTTTTCAACATACTTATAGTTGGATCTCAGCTAGCAGTCCCATAACAGAGCATCACAGACAACGGACATTTACTTTCTCACAGTCTGGAGACAGGAAGTTCAGGGCCAAGGTGCTTGTCGGTGGCTTGTGGACAGCTGTGTCCTCACGTGGCCTTCACTTTGTGTGCGTGCACTCCTGGGGACTCATCCTCTTACAACCACACTGGTCCTAGTGGACTAGGGCTCCACCCTCATGACCTTGAACCTTGTTGCCTCCTTAAATGTCCTATCTGCAAATCCTGTCACCTGAGAGTCAGGGCTTTAAAATCTGAATCTCATCCCAAAACAGCAAGCGTGCATGTGTTTTTCTGGGAGCTGCATCAAGAAGTGGAACAGCTAGCTGGCTTTGCGCGCTCATCTTCACTCGAATAGGCGATGTCCAGCTGTTCTCCCAAGTGGTTGTACCAGTCCTGACAGACGTGCGCTCCTGTTGCTCCTCCTTCTTGCCCATTCTCGATGTGTCAGTCACTTTAAACTGTGCTGACCTGGTAGGTGTGTAATAACATCTTCTCGGCTTTTATTTGCATTTCCCTGGTTATTAGTGAGGTCTTGTGGCTTCTTATCTTATAATGCCCATTTGGATATCCTCTTTTATGAAGTACTTGTTCAAGACTTTGCCTGTTTTTCTATTGGGTAGATGTCTTATTCTTACCGATTTGTGTAGAAGTTATAAAAAATATGTTAATGATAGTCCTTTTGTTAGTTATATACAGTATTACAAATACATTTTCACTGTGGACATATCTTTTTCCCCCTTTTATGATGTATTTCCTGTTACTAAAAGGAATCTTAATATTAAAATAGCTAAATTTTACCAGCCTTCCTTTATGACTGATCACTGTTTTTCTAATTTAGAAAATCCTGCTCTGCTCTGAGGCTATAAAGATATTTTTCTAGATAAATGGCATATCGTTTTTCAGAATTGGGTTTTTAATCTGCTTGGAGTTGGTGTTTTGTGGATGGCGTGAGGCAATCAGTTGTCACAGACTCAGTTGAAAAGTCTGTCCTTAATGTGCCACTTGCGTGATGGCACTGTCATTCCTGTGTGCACGGGCTTGTTTCCGGGCTCTGTCTGCTTTTCTTTCTTTTTTCTTTTTTTTTTTTAAATATATTTTATTGATTTTTTTTTCTTACAGAGAGGAAGGGAGAGAGATAGAGAGCTAGAAACGTCAATGAGAGAGAATCATCGACCAGCTGCCTCTTGCACACCCCCCTACCGGGGATGTGCCCACAACCAAGGTACATGCCCTTGACCGGAATCAAACCTGTGACCCTTCAGTTCTCAGACCGACGCTCTACCGCTGAGCCAATCTGGTCTTGGCTCTGTCTGCTTTTCATTTATCTGTGTTTTCTGCAGCATCACCACACAATCTCATTTCTGTAGCTTTAGGAAAAGTCTTGATCTCAGGTAGAACAAGTCTTCCCTCCTTGTTCTTGGTCATTTATTAATACATTTCCATATAAATATTGGAAGTAGCTTGTCACCCGTCAGAAAAATAAACTTTTGGGATTTTGATTGAGATTTTATAAGTATTTTTGCTCTTGAACGTATCTTTTAAAAATATGTTATTTGAAAAATTAGAGGGCATATCCTTATATTGCTTTTGTACCTGCAAAACCATGAACTATTAACTGTAATTTATTTGTAGTTTCTTTTGGATTTTTCTATATTCACAGTTAGTCTGAAAAAAGTGAAAGTTTTGTTTCATTCTTTTCAACATTCTAAACTTTATTTCTTTTATTTCCTTACGCTGTTGCGTAGGCCCTCTGGTGTGGGGTTGACGGAAATGGTGGAACTGGGCATCTTTGTTTGATCTCAGAGGGAAAAGCTTCAGCAACTCATCACTAAAGGTGTTGTTTGCTGTTGGTATTTTTAAAAATATATATATTTTTATTGATTTTTTACAGAGAGGAAGGGAGAAGGATAGAGATAGAAACATTGATGAGAGAGAAACATGAATCAGCTGCTTCCTGCACACCTCCTACTGAGGATGTGCCTGCAACTAGGGTACATGGCCTTGACTGGAATCAAACCTGAGACTCTTCAGTCCACAGGTCGATGCTCTATCCACTGAGGAAAACCGACTAGGATTGCTGTTGTGTTTTGTAGATACCTTTTAACTGTGTTTTTCTGAGCTGGGAAAGTTAACTTAGTGACTCAGAACAATAATCACTGAATTATTTCTCCCAGCTACTGTGGTTAGGAATTCAGGAGCATCTCAACTGGACAGTTCTGGCGTAAGGGCTTCCAGACAGGTTCGGATGATGGCAGAGCTGGGGTGGGGGTTGGTTAGTGCAGCCAGGGCTGGTTAGTATCTCTCTCTTCCTGTAAGCTTGGGCTTCACCCATGCAGGCTCCTTTGGGCTCCCTTACAACATGACAGGCTCAGGGGAGACATGGTTACGTGTTGGCTGAGTCTTCAGGGTGAGTGTGCTCCAGCAGGTAGGGCCCTAACTGCATTGATTTTTGTGACCTCGCCTCGGAGGTCGAGGTCGCATAGCATCATCGAATTTGTACATTGTTAGTTAAAACAGCCCCATCCAATTTTAAGAGGAAGGAATGTAGATGCTACCCCTGGATAGAAGGAAGTGTCAAAGTCACATTTTAAAAGCATGTGGAATTGTTACAGCCATCATTTCTTTCTTTCTTTTTTTTTTTTAAACAAATCTTTATTGTTCAAATTACTACAATTGTTCCTCCTTTTTTCCCCTCCATTGCTCTCCTCCACCAGGTTCCCACCCCACCCTCTGCCCTTTCCCCGCTTCCCATTGTCCTCCTCCATAGATGCACAGTTTTTGTTCATTCTCTTCTCACACCGCCAACTCCCCTATTCCCCGAGAATTGTCAGTCCATGCCCCTTCCATACCTCTGATTCTGTTATATTCACCAGTTAATATTGTTCATCAGATTTTTTAATTCTCTTGGTTTTTAGTTTCACTTGTTGATAGTTACATATTTGTTGTTCATAATTTTTTATCTTTATCTTCTTCCTCTTCCTAAAGAACCCCCTTCAGCAATTCATATAATTCTGGTTTGGCGGTGATGAACTCATTTAGCTTTTTTTTTTATTTGTGAAGCTCTTTATCTGGCCTTTGATTCTGAGTGATAGCTTTGCTGGGTAGAGTAATTTTGGTTGTAGATTCTTGCTATTCATCACTTTGAATATTTCTTGCCATTCCTGTT